GATAATGTACCTTACGGGTACGATTTCTCTTGTCTATAGCGTGGCTACACGAAGATATCGAGGGTACAGACAAAAAAAAACACATTGTAAAAAATAATACCTTCTCAGCTACGCATCGAAGCTATAAACACAAAATTATTATAGCTGAAGTAATGTTTACAAATGGCCAATCGTTTGGATTTGTTATCATCCGATGCGGTTCTTTCATTGTAGCCTCTTCTATAACTTAAAACGCGATAAAGTGACATTTATCGCCTAGACGGTAATGATGCGCACGCGAGCAGGAATTCTGCAAAGTTGCCGGTTTGTCGTCATCCAAACTGGTTAGGTAAGATCTTACTTGTAGATTGGTAAATTAGCCGTTGTGGTGCACGAATTAAACGGAGTGGTGAAAATTATTTAAAAAAATACTCAAAATTATGTTGTCGTGTACTATGTATAAACGACATTGGCATTGACATTTTTGTCTAAAGATTGTAGACGGGAAGTTTTCAATCTCTACAATGTCTACTACTTATGTTTGACTTCAATATTAACAAAACCATCAAGGGCGTGCTTATAGTATTATAGCTGTGGCTTGGCGCTAGAACTGCTAACAACGGTTAGTTTTGCCAATTTTAAGTGTGAAACTTTTAATTTCTTTAACTCACACACCATTTGTGTTTTAAGTAGAAAGCTTTTTATCTCGATCTAGGGTTTCGGTTTTTTTTTGTACTTCTGCATTGTTGGCACTATCAAGTTTGATATTCCTTCTTGTACACCGAGCTACGGATTACTAGAATAAGACAATTTTTTTATTATTATTATTATTTTGTATTAATAAAAAGGCGCCAAGTAGTTTCTGACCGTCAGACAGGCAGATTAGTTTTTTATTTATTTTATTACATCGGTCAATATAATAAACAATAAAAAATCTCACACTCCAATACATACATGTAAATATATTACAATTTGTCGGCGTAATCAGATTAAGCTTATTAAATTGTTTTTCCTAGTTTAATAGTTTAATTTTTAAAACATCCCGAGTAACTGTTAAGTACAGAACGAATCAACTTTTTGATAGATTTCAATAAATTGTTGCGCGTGTAGACATTATGTATTCAAAATGTAGATTACGACAAAGTACTATAATAGCTTAGCTGTAGAGTCCGTATAGTATGTGAATACAAGAGATATTATTATTGTTCTTGAAACGTTTTTATATTACAGCAATAAAAATACACTTATACATGAACTACACTTGCATACTATTACATGGATGTATCATTATAATAGGCTATTTAACCGTGCGCATATCATACATCACACAATCCGATTAAGATTTCTTTTCGGATAAATAAAAATAACATATAGAATAAGATGACAGATAATTTACTGTACCAGGCGAAGAAGATAAACGATAATGTCGGCGTGTGTGTGTGTGTGTACAAGTATTATAAGGATGGGTTTTAATTCTTCAGATCCGATATCATTGCGGACGCATAAAGTAGTATTCGCCCAACATTTTAATTTTGAGGTCAACTGCGACTTTGCTGTGATACTGTGGTCGTCGCCGCGCCGCCTATTACATATATAGGCGGTTGATGGTTTTAGCATATTCTCTGCGGGAAACACCTAACCTAACCTAAAACGCTTAAGTATTCCAACGAAACTCGGTCAGAGGCCAGCAGAACACATGATTTAAAATGCAAACACATTATAGCTAGCCATAACGTATACCGTCTAAATCCTGGTCAGTCCACGTCTCGCCTGAACTAACCTAACCTAACGGTGTCTTGATAACGGCCAATATCGTTACATAATTATTGACATAAGGCGGATTTTCACATGTCCAAGAACTCCAGCAGCAATACAACTTTATGCGTTAATAGGCCTTTGGTCGATCCTTTGGTTCATGTTAATATTATAGTACAGACCATATTATCATACCGTCTCTACGTGTGGTCCATATATACAGCTCACGTGCGTATCTGGTTCGAACCGTTTTGTGTGGTTAAATCGCTCAATTGTGATTTGTGCGTTAAAATAATAATTATTTTTATATATTTAAACACATAGCGCACACACGTATAGGCTCTGTACGCGGGCACAGCGACCGACTTAATATTTCCAACACATGTGGCGCGTATACCGATTTAATATTTCAAATGCGAAGCACATGTAAGGAGTAGTTGTTATTTCTTTATTTTATTAGTATGATTATTATTATTTTATTTTTTATTTTGCCGACTCTTCTTAGTGATTTTCAACTAGCATGTGCGCGTTCGCTTTGTGGGCCGCACTAAAAGACCATCAGGACGTTCCCGGACCGAGCTCTTATGACTATAATACTTCTACATATATAATTTTAATAGTACTCAAACCACTGGGATATAAAGATGTGCAAATTGAAAAATAGTTTAATTACAAAATTAATTGATTACAATTTTAACAATATTTTCGGTTATACCTACCTGAATTTACATATTAGCAAAGCCAAAGTAGTAAAAAGTAGCTTATATATATATATATATATATATAAATAGGCGCTTCTACAACTTATTAATTTTTACAATTTATTAGCATTTTGCTATGGCATCTTTTCTATTTTTACGATTGTGCTTTTGTTTTTGATTGTGTTTGCACTAGTAAAATATGTCTCTCCGTCATGAATTCCTGTGGTCGGATCTCGGGGCACCATTTTTTATATCTTAATCATACTATTTGTATCATCAATTTACTATATTAGTGTAACACACGTACAACGCAAGATAGTTGTTTTAAATCCAGTTCTCCTCGCCTTGCAGTGTACTAATGTAATCGGCAATGGTGTCAACGGTCAGTATTCGGTAATTTTTTTCCCTTGCTATCTATTTATTCAATACATTTTAAACAGTCGAAGCCTAATTACGGGAGTAGCACGTGGCGTGTGATAGATTATTGAAATACAATGCGTACATCTATAAAAAAAAAACTATGTTGTTTATTATAGTTTAATGTATTATAGTTATTTTTTTTTGACTAGCTATGTTTTACTTATAAGAAGTCCATGTGTGTACTATGCACACATACACTACGACGATCATCGCTGTTAGATTAGGTATTATAATATGTACAAAACAATTTGTCTTATTCAATAACATCAGCTACGCTTATAACGTTCCTTGTGTTTCGCAGACATAGACATATTTATATATATTTATATATATATATATATATATATATATATATATATATATATATATATATATATATACATGTGTATATTGTGTGTGTGTGTGTGTGTATTTGTGGACATCTATAATAAATTATGACTACTACATGCACGGCTATGTGCAACGAATCCCCATTTCAATTGATGCGAGTGTCATTAATTACGCCTTGTTTCCTTATCGATCAGGCGTCCAAAGACTCAACTCGATGCACGCGCGTTCGCTGTTCAATTGGTCATTTTGAAAAATACCCAATCGGATTTACCGTGTAGGAAAATGTGAACGGACTTAATGCAGATTATTTACAAACGTTCAATATTTTACATCGGACAGATATATTTAACGACCGCGCGGTGTCTTTTTATTATTATTTATTATAATCTTGACGAAAAAAAATAATAAAATAAAAAAAACGTTAATATCTTTGAAATCTTAAACATTTTTTTTTCCTTAGTCGTTAGTTGGTGTTTATATAATAATATTGATATTATCGTAGTCGTCGTATTGTAAGTTTACAAAATCGATTTGAAACAGGCAGAGGTCTGTTTAGTTGGGGATCGCCGTTTTTTTCAAAATCTTATTTAGCAACCTTAAAACCACGTCCACGAAACCTACACGTGGCATTATAAATTTATAGAAATTTCGTAAACGCATAATTATGCATGAAAAATGGATTTGAATATTAGTTTTATTCCAACTGCCGTCCGTTTACATTGTGCATTTTTAAGTTTGTATTCATAACGAGTTGTTGACACGATTTCAATTGATAAACGTGTTTTCGTTCGACGACACGGTTTTGGCAATAACCATGTTCTTCTGCTGACCTAGTCAACCGCTCTGTAACGTAGGTATACAATGCCAGATCTCACGAAATCGTCTTGACAAAAAAACCTATGGGGGGAATGGTCAATCGAAAGTTAATTATTCAACTTCATCTGACCGATGGGCGTTGAATTGTAATAATGTAAGCGTGGGTAGTTAACGTGGCCGACTATACTTTAGCAATGGAACATAATACTATCACTTAGTCACTCAGTTTCGTCGAGTATCCTTAAGTCTCCGCAGTTGTCCGGTGAAACGGGTGTGGTTGGGGGTGGTCTTACGGATCCAAAGGCATTTTTTTGCGCATCTCCTCGGCGGGCACAGTACACACAGGCACATAGTACATGTACACTGACATAAGTTGTGACGTGAGATTTTCCCGTGTGGGTGTACGATGGCGCTGCATTTCCAACGTGTAGACCTAAAGGCATACGCGAACAGACCATGCCAATTGCATAAGAACGGCCGGCCAACGGGGTCACGGCGACGGCGGTCGCGGCAATGCGTTTGGCAGGCCTCGGCGGTCTCGTTGGCATCGAGTGCCGCCCGAAGGATATCGCCGCCGAATCCCTACTAACCCAGTGCGAATTGGCAGCTCCCGGTCCACGTGGTCGCCACGTACAGTACAATACAGTTATATTATATGCACAAGTGTTGATACGTTAAATATTAATGTATAGATGCCCAATAGCACGGACAATTCTAGCGATATCCCTCCAAGCAGGAACGAAAAACAAACTCCTCAATAACAGGTGATCTTCTCATTTCCTTTCAGTTTTGTTATGAGACACTCTGCACTGCCCCTAGGAACAACACGAGGACTATAAATTTAAAACACTTTAACGGAAAACCTATGCGATTCTGGCAGCTTTCCTATAGATCTAAACATAGTTGCGATATTGATTGAGTGTAAATACTCTTTTGCTACGCAGATCTCCATTTTTTTTTTTTATAAATATTAATATTACGACTTTTTGATATTTGCAGGATGAGTTCCATCCGTTCATCGAGGCGTTGCTGCCCAACGTCAAAGCGTTCTCTTACACGTGGTTTAACCTGCAGGCAGCCAAACGCAAGTATTTCAAAAAACACGAGAAACGGATGTCGCTGGAGGAGGAAAGACGTTGCAAGGAAGAGTTGATGGTAAGCGTTTAAAGCTGATAATATTACTATTGAATAACATTGGCGGGTATACCCAACCTAACCCCCGTACACGCAAGCATGAAACACCGGTGCCGGCCAGCTGGATCGGCTGTTCTGCGGGTGGTAATGGTTGGACGAAGACGAAGGCGGCAGTGGTGGTAGTGGTGGTGGAGGCGGCGCAAAAGCGCAAAAAATTAACAATCGCGCCGCGTGGAACTCCAATAAAATATATAATAATATTATAATACGTAAAATAAAAAAATTATACGTTAATATAAATAACTCGCGTGGCGCATGTTTTTTTTTTTTTAAATTATCTTTATATTATGCATGCGGCGATTTCAAATGTCCCGGCCGCGTTGACCTGTTCGATTCGACGGCGGCAACCAGTTCAAGGTCATAATAATATATTATTCGCCTGGGCCGCGAGGAGTGGTCCCCGCTGATAGCCGTATGGTACAAAATAATATGTGATTCCGTGAGATCTGCTGCTGTGGTCCTTCCAATCGTTAGCTCGTATACTCATCCTGCGACCGATATCCATCATCTGACTAGTTTGATAGTACTTTTTTTTTTATTCATCCAACAGGTTCTCGTCTGTGTTTATATATTATATTATAGTGATTTCTAGTAGTAGAGAATATTGTCGCACGAGTCTTCCCGCTGAGTCCTGTGTTTTGGAAAGTCAAAACGAACAAAACGCTATATGCGATACACTCGTTCCCGACTCATTAAGAAGCACTAGTAAAAGTGGCCGGGGTTCGCTTTTTTCTTTGGCTTGCCAATCACTGTGCCGCCCCTGTTCATTCTGGGACAGTTTGTTTTTTGACACAGTTAATAATGGCACACGATAATCCAGACTCGATGGTGCGATTCATGTTCAGTTGTCTCCAATTTATAACTATTTAGTTTTTGTGCGCGTTCGTGCAGTCCATGTACATTATTACTGTGTGTGTGTATAACAATATGTGAACGCATCACATTTATCTCCGGCGGTTGCTCGCACGATATTCATCTCCGAATCCGTCTGACGGATTCCCAGTGGCGTCCGGCTAGCAATAATATTGTCAAATGATTAATATCGACCGCCCGCCGTCGTAGCATAGTGCACTTGTACTACACGCACGATAAACTTTCCAAACAAACGGAGAACGGTCTCAGCTTATAAGCCACCCAAAAGCGATATTGAAATTGTTTTAAGAACGGCACTCGGCTTGGCGTTTGACTTGAAAATATGATAAACTAATGTAAAACGACAACACGCATTATAGGACATTTTATTACCGTTATGTTGTAATAGGTTGTGTTTGTATTAGGTCTATACGTCATTATTAATCTCATACAATAACCAATGGCAATGAGCATTCGGTCAAATTCTCGGTTAGTCGAAAAAAATCGACGGCTTGTCTTGGCTAACTCCGATACGAACAGGTTTCTACGTTCTGCAGTGCTTAATTCCGAATGCTGTAATACCCCCAATAAAACGAGGAATATTTTTGTGACGCTTTAGAAGAAACAGTGTAAAATACCTTCTTTTTGTAGCTATAGTTATTATAATAATATAATAATTATCGGGTTTTATCGAGCCGGAGTGCGCTAAATTGTTACCATATAAATAAAGTACAAATATGCGTTTTTTATAGTCATTATTATGTAAGGCATAGACATGTTTTTTGTGGTCGTCTCGGTGTCTTCCAGATATTCATGGATCCGGCCGATCATAAGATACAACTTTACGATGTTTAACGTGCGCGTCTGCTACAATGATATATTTTGCATAATGCGTGCACAGATAACACTGTCAAGTTGTTTCTCTTTAATAATAATCATCATCATCATATTATTATTATTATTACCACCATCTCGTTTTTATTCGAAAGAATAAACTTCTTCATAAATTAGAACCGCCACACCGTCCGCAATATTGTAGCGTGAACCGAATCCTTTTTTACTGTATTTGAATGCTACACAGGTCGACCTGTTCACCTCCAACGTGTGTACGCTATTCCTTTAGTTAGTCAACCGGGTTTTACGAATAAACCGTCTGAATAAAGTAAAATGTAAACGGTGTAAAATTAAACAGCCTGTGATCGTCACGAATCGCACTGAACGAGTTGAGTTTTAGTCTAAGTATTCATTTCAAAAAAAACATTTCTCAGTTGAAAAATATTATACTTGACTTAATCGTTGTTAGTCCCTTAGGCTTGAGATCACAGGAGAAACAATTCTAATGAGAAAACGGCCAACGGTAATTTATAAACTGTCAGTTTTTTTAATGGATCAAAATATATAAATACACAAAATAAATTATACCTAGATATTAATATTATTATATTTTTCTAACTTGTACTGCGGTTTAGTGGTAAATAAAATAATTATAATAATGTGTTTGATGTTTTGAAGATGCTTTTTAAATGTATAATATTTAGTAAACATTTTATATACATTTATGTTACCATTATATTATGATTTAATGCCAAAACTTGAATTATAATATTTTGACAATATTAAAAAAACTGTCACAGTTATTATACCTACTGGAATTTAAATCCCTTTGACTATATCGACCTTCAGTCACCGACGGTAAACGAATCGAACATTTAGATTCAGTTTAGTGTTATTATAGTATACATATATACAAAAGAGGTTATGTCTAATTAAATCCGTATACAATCCCAAGAGCGTCCGGTCCGGGTCTCGTTTGTAAAAGGAAATGTCTTATTTTTAGCCGCTTCGCCCTAATTAACCTTCCTACAATACAGCTTTAAATATATTGTAATTTTTTATCTATTTAAGAGTTATTTTAATTCGCTACTTTATCGTTTTTTTTTTTAAACTACACATAAACACAGCTAAATACGCAAATTGTTTCATATTAGAACGGTCTATTTTTTTTTTATCTTGACCTTAAGATAGTATGGAACAGCGGTCATGCGTCATCGTGTGTGCGACGGGCCCTGCCGGATCTCTGTGTATAAAATTATTATTACCATCGTCCTGACGCGTGCGCTCGGTCGGCTGCTGCGACTGCTTGGGCCTAAAAATACAACAAACGCACCGCTACAGCCGCCGTCTCAAACATCTCCTAAAAACTCACAAGGGTCTAACGTTACCGGTACACGGATATATGTACATAAAGCTCAGATGAAACATTCAATCTTCCGCCATACAGTAACAATATAGACCAACTACCGATTTCAGTTTCACGTCGTTTGAATAATTGTAAAAAAATCTATATTTTTTTTTTTTACCATATTGTCGTATTGTATACTTGGGTATAATCGGAGTTCTTAGAATTTTCTTGTTGCAGAGTTGGACAGAGAAAAGTCCATATTGAGAAATGTGTCGTTTACCATTCGTGTCGGCGTTCAGTTTTCTGTTAAGAAAATACTTGAAAAACTCACTTTATAAATGTCCTTTAATATTATGATGTTTCTTATACTTATTATATAAGGAGTCTCGTATAGGTAATTTTTGTCAAAAATTGAACTCTTAGGTAAAAATATGTATATTAAACATATCACTTACAATTTAATGAAAAAAACACGTTAACTTCCGTCTTCTAATAGTAAAGCTTAAACAATGTTGTTGCATAAATAATAAAGCAATAGCTTATCTTAAGTTATTAAATGTTCCAGTGTCGTTTGAATTTCCCAATATTTCAAAAGTAAATTGAGAGCTGTAAAAAATTGTATACAAACTGTTATAAAAATAAAATAATTCTGTACTTTTACAGAACAGAAAATTGATTGTTGAAAAGAATACCTACTTTCATGAACGTCCATTAAAGGTTTATGGTGTCAATAAATATGTATTGTCTCTGGTCTCATACATTACAAAGTAGCCCTTGAATGATCTATTCAATTTTAATCCAAAGCAACCATGCATAAGGTGTGATTTGTATTTATTTTATTTGTATCTGTTGTATCGTCTCCCATGGCTTTTCACATCAATCGCTTGGCCGATGTTACAATATGTAAAGTTTAATATAATTTTATAGTTACCCAAGTTATAGGGTATATAGGATAATAATAACTATTTAAATGTTTTATAATATAATTATTATTTACATTTTAATTTTTACCTTATGATATAAAGTGCATCTTTTTTCCGTTCGATTAAAATAAACACAGGAAACTGCTCCTGTGTCACGTTGCAGCCTTGTGCATTTAGGTATATATAAATATATTATTACATGACGGTATAAGCTAAAAAATAAACATAAAAATAAATAAATAACCCAGTCTAGATTACTAGTCCGCGGTGACTCTTGAATATTATTATAATGTCCGATGCGCTTTTACGGCACGTACTTAGAATTTTAAAATACACGTCGCTTATACACTGTAATGGGATGTATTACTGTTAAGCATGCGTTAGTAGTAGGTATAATATGTAAACGCGCAACTTATTGGGATTAAAATATTCTTTAACGGCATGTCGCGCAAAGCTTGGAAAAAATCAAATTAACCCGGTACTTACTTAACCCGGCGACCAAAATAATATACAATAGTGTAATATTAATATAGCGTATCACGTTGTCCGACGTCCACATTATTTTTTCTATTTTAAACTGCTTAACCGTATAGAATTTTATTTCCTAACCTAATCTAACCGGATAAACCGAATCATTTACAATAACAATAATATATTGAACACAAAAAATCGCTTTGGCCGAGAAAAATAGCGCTTCGCTGTTTGCTGAAAGATGTACGTTGCCAAAATGGCATGTAAAACAGTACATGCTATAGATTTTTTTTTTTGGGTAATTAAAAAAAAAATAAATACATATATTTTCAGACTGCAAGAAGTCTTCTTCTTTCAAACGAAAAATAAATGATCAAAATCACTCTATATCTATACCAAAAGTTTTCAAATATTGTCTGTATTTTGAACCTTAAGGGAAACGGAAAGTGCTATAAAGGGGCAAAGGATAGGCAATATTTAAAAAAAATTGATTTAGTAGCCACTTTTAATATGCCGATGAAAAAATATTAAGT